TGTGTGTGTGTGTGTGTTATCATCAGCATCTCTCCTAGGACTCTAGGGAGAGGACTGGGTAACAGAGTTTTTGGCCATGTCTGGCACATGCTAAGTAGGACATATCATTATATGTCATTTTTAATCAAGCGAAAGGAATATGACTTTGAAACATCTGCTTCTTATGAAGCCTCTTAACCTGGGCTGAGCGTCTTGCAGCTTCAGTGTGACTGAATGTTAGAATTTCAGTGGCTCAGGCTTGGGTCCGACTCAGCACACAGACCCAGGTTGGCCCCAGCCCCACCCCTGCTGGGTGAGTGACGGTTTGTATACAAACTCTCCTGGACTGTTTTAATCTGAGTGGGCCATCTGTTTCCTGCCGGGCCCATGAATTATACACTTTATCCTCTAGCAGTCCAGAGTTTTCCTCACCACACTGTGCTTTATGCTGGCTTTGAGGAGTGTCTTCATTTCCCTTTACCAGCTCGACAGGCCAAAACAAAACCAAAAAAGGAAAAAGAGGAAAATGTTTTCTCTTTGTCCTGTTGTTTTGCACTTCTCTGACTACCAGTGAGGCTGGCCCTTTTTCATGTTTCTTCATGTATCGTGTCCTTTGGCCATTTCTCTAAGATCTTGGCATATTTTTTCTAAGTCTGAAGGAGCACTTCATATGTACTGATTACCTGGACGAAAGGAATAAGCATTTGCCTGACTTAGCTTAAGCAAGAATGGAAATTTAAAGACACAGGGATGTCTCTTGAAGCCTAAACAGTGCAGAGCATTGGGAATGGACTGGAATCAGAGGCTGGGGTGTGGTACGGAGACTGGGGAGCCCTCCAAACCGTACTCCATTCTCCTCTGCACGGGAGCATCATTCTGCTCATTGCTACAAGGTGCTTTGTCTTTGCCTCAGCCGTCCAGAGTAGAAACTGCTCACTACCTACACTCCATGTACAACTCCACCGTTACAAAGGCCAGTCATGCTTTGGGAAAGCTAGACTCAAACCCAAACCCTTGGTCAGGTGACCAACGGAACGACGGTCATGCATATGATGGCCAACTCTGCTAAACCATGCAGATAAGAGAGCAAAGAAGTTCTCGGAAAAGCGAGGCAATGAACATGGACTACCAAATATTCTTAAGTTTCAAAACCAGGAACATTACTATGCTAAAGTATAACATTAACGGTTTTGATGGTCACTATTGTACCTATGAAAGACCTTTTTCTAATATCTAATAGTTTTAAGCAAATAGCCATAAATATTAAGATATTCTCTTCTAATGCAGCACCAAAAGTCATTCAGATAGTATGATTTCTCTTCAAAGGAGGTTCGACCTTATATTTTTACAGAATTGTAGGCACAACAAGTACTGTTAATTACAATGCTTAATCACTGGCACAAATTCAGACTCCACTAATTAAACAGGAGCACAATCTCACTAAACAGAAAAAACTAATTAAAAGAATCTGGCTGGACTCATTATAAAGTGAATTTCATAGACAAACAGGGCTGTATAAACTCACAGCAGAGGAGCCAAGCTTAAGCAACAAGTTATAAGCGTTGCGCCTGTCGCTTCCAGGCAAAGCCTCGCAAGGAACCTTCCAAACCCCAACCTTTTACAAAAAGATTCACAATCTCACAAAAACAAAAGGCCATCGAAGCCGCTCCCACTAGGCAGCTATGACACTGGAAACAGGCCCGAGCGTTTCCTGGGCGTCCAGGCCGATGGCGAGGGGCAGAGGAGGGGCGACGGCAGCGGGCGGATTCCAACTGATCGTCTGCACTCGTGGAGCTATGCTGCGCGCGTTTCCGACTCCATGGGCATCAAAGCCCGGAACCTCGGGGACCCAGGGGACGTCGGAGGTGAACGAACTTCGGGGACCGAGACCACTCAGCCCGCTCTCCGCCCAGGCGCGACCCACGCCCGCCTGCGGCGTCCCCAGAAGCCCTTTCTCGGCGGCCCGACTTCCGCAACCCCGCACTCGTTCTGGACCGCGAGTCGGACCCCCGGGTGGGCTGGACGCGGCGCCCTCCTCACCATTCCCGCTGCTGCTGCGCCAGGCCTCCGGGCCCCTCTGGGTACGTGAACTGGAGCCCTGATCCCGCGTGGCCTTCGCCTCTCTCCCCCATTAAGAGAAACTCCGCCAACTCCCTGTCTCTCACGGTGCTAAGTCGCTAAGTCGTTTTCCCCTACTGTCCTTGAAGCCAGGGGGCCCACGACCCTGGTGAGGCTGCGGCCGAGTGGGCTGAGGGCGGTGAGCCTGCAGCCGAGGCAGGGGCCTTCATGCTCTCTAGCAAACGCCTGCCATGGGGCATGCGCGCATCCACTGTGCGCTGATGGCACATCCACAGGGCGAATCCCAGCCTGCCTACTTTCTCTCCCCCTCCTCTCCCTTCATCTCTCCAATTTTTTTATCTCTTGACACTGCCAAGCAAACAACAGATCGTAATTTGTTTATATCAGTAATAATATATTCTTCCAATATTACATACATATGAATACAGTAGCCCCTTAGGGTAATGCTTAAGTGAAGACTTCCTAACGTTTCAGACCATTATGGAGTGTTCACATTCAAGGACGTAGAAGTATTTAAGTCAATGCAGTCATTTCATTATATAGTGATACTGAAGTAGTATGAAAAGCAACAGGGCCAGGCATGGTGGCACATGCCTCCAATCTCAGCATTCAGAAGGATGAGGCAGGAGGATTCCCTAAAGTTCAAGGCCAACCTCAGCTATGTACTGAGTTCAAGGCTATGAACTACATAGGGGGACCTTGTTCCAAAAAAACCAAAACCAAAGACAGGCCAAACAAAAACAAAAACAAAAACAAAAAGCAACAGGAAAGGAAAACATTTCTAATATCTCATGCTCATACATTTAAGACTGATAGCAATATCTAAGCCTAGCAAATTAAAATGAAAAAGCATGTGTGTAAGCCACAAAGATGTGATAAGTAAAGAATGTGGGAAAGAAATATGCAAAGTCATGCTAAGAAATCTGTTTCTGAATATACCCTGGACAATATATTTAGTCCTAGTTTTATATATTGAGATACAATTTCTTCTAAGACAACTTTTAGTATCTTAAGTATGTAGGATTTCCTTTTGTGGATCATATTTATAATAAACCAGTTTATAAAATGCCATTAAATTCATATACTAGACGTGCCTGACACTTCTGCCACTTTTACTATTGCTCATTTAGCTAATCACAATCCCTCTCCAGGAAGCTCTTCCCTAAAAGCACATCGTCACATCTTCTCTCGCTATACTTCTTTTCTATCAGGTGTCATTGCATAAGATTTAATTCTGCCTCAACTTCTAACTGAATGCTTTCCTTCTGTCTTCCTTAGCTCAGTGGACAAATGAGACTGCACCTTTTCCCATTAAGTTACAGCCCAGAGGGCAACATATAATGAACCTGCAAAGTGTCACATGTTCCTGTTCCAGCCCGAATTGAAAATGCTGAAATTCCAACATCTTCTTTTTACCTTTTTTAGGAAGAAATAAAGCTTTTGTGTAAATATCTATTGCTGAATAACCCTTATAAGCAAAGCTCACAATGGCTTGGGAATTCAGTGACCCCAAAACAAAACTACCTTGGTTCTGGCCACGAGGATGGTAGCAAATAGAGCTAAATGTCCCCTGATTTCCATGCTTCCTTCTTCTGTGTTGCAGTCACTTTAGCTGGATTTGGCCCCTGGTTAGATCTGCATCTCTCTGCCTGCTTATAGCTAACGCAGCCAAGTGCCACATTCAATGAAATATTCAACCGAACCTGAGCTGAGGTGACATGTGACACCTCCAGGCCTGGCCCTCGGTACCTCATAAGACTTTTAAAAATGCAAAAAATGAAACCTCTGTCCTTCTGACTTTGGGAGTTGAGTATGAAGAGGACAACAGGAAAACACAGGGCAGCTCAGGTCCCCAGATGGCTGTGGGGAGCACAGCTGCTGCCTACCTGTCAACCTGGCCTTGGGACCATTTCCTAGGAGAGAAAAATCGTGTGCTAAGAACACAAAGTTTAATTATTGTTGCATCTTTTGTTTCCACAGCATAGCTTATTCTAAACAATAGACACACAGAAAGTTCATTTTAAAACAGGTTTGGAGAAGAAAAAGGAAAAAACATACATACTGACCAGGATTCTAATGCTGGGCCTGGAGAAAGGCAGGTGACATTGGATTCATGCTGATGCCCAGGAGAAAGAAACACCTCCGCTCTCACCCAGCAGCCACCGCTCCCCGTGCAGCTGGAACTCCCCACATGGCTCCGATTCTTGCTGGCTCCAGACAGCAGCCCGGCACCATCTCTGCTCAGCCTTTGCATTCTCATCTTTCTCTCATGCTGTCCTGGTGCAGGGGCTGCACAGCGTGGTGCAAGCCTGACCCCAGAAGACCGCTACAGTCTCCCCACATCTTTGCGTGCTTCCTCTTGTTTTTCCATTGTATTAATTCTCACCATCCCAGCTCCATGCACAGTGACCACGACCTTGTGACTTGACCTTCTAATGCAGTGACCTCATCCCACTGTACACTCACTGGATGGCTAGATCCACCCTCACTCATCACCTATCACCACATCTCTGTTACTCCTCCCAAAATCCTGGGTGGGAGTCTAAGACTGGAGGTTGGCAAATGATGGCAACTGCACCCACTCACTAATGTGCTCTCCACACTGCTCTCACTATGTCAGATTGAATAGTTGGGATGAAAGCCACAGGTAGCAGCAACTAAAGTGTTTACTGTCTGGACCTTGACAGGTAAAGTTTATCAACCCCGGTATAGATCAACATCCTTCCTCAATAATATCAGCCACTTCTTATACCTCATTCATTTAGCACAACTACAAGTACCTGAACTTAACAAAATAAACACAAAGATATACAGTGGACCTTCAAGTTATGCGCAGCCTGATATATAAGCAACTTGGTTTACGAGCAGAATTTTAGTTTTAACTTACAATCAAAGTCTTGGGTTACAACCTGAATGCTGGCCACTTGTGCTTCTAGATGGTCTCAGAAACAGATTTAACCCTTAAAGAGTTCTGGAAGGATCATTACAACATCCTTTCCTGGGTGGGGAAATCCTGGGCCAATTTCTCTCTAAGGACACTGAGATCTGCCTGGAAAAAGGTGTGGCCTAAAATTATACAGGAGAGAGACTTTGAAGGCAGATGACAAATTTAAGTTACAACCAGTCCTCAGGAACGAATTGAGTTCGTAGGTCAAGGGTCCATTGTATGTGTGTGTGTGTGTGTGTGTGTGTGTGTGGTGTGCATGAATATATATATGTATGTATATAGTCATATACAGATGCATGTGTGTGTGTGTATATATATATATATATATGAGTGGATGGGGAGGCAAGCACGCTGATAAGACAGATACACAAAAAGCTCTAATACAAGGGAGTATACAGCTACCACTTGATGGTAAATAGAATAAACTATGTGCTGGCATAAGAGAAAAGGATTTTCGTTTGTTTTTGTTTTGTTTTGTTACCGGGGATTGAACCCAGGTCCTTGTGCTTGCAAAGCAGGCAGCGGAACCACTGAGCTAAATCCCCAGCCCAAGACGAAAGGATTTTCATTCAGGGTAACCAGGAAGGGCTTTTATTTATGGAAGAGAGATTATCAAAGCTAGATTTTTAACCAGAAATAGAATAGGTGTATGGCAAGCCAAGTAACCATGCATCAAACTTTCACACAGTATCTATTACAAAAGGAGAGAAATGGAATCAAAGCATTTGTAAATGGGGGAAGGAATGAAGGGTTGAAGGGAGAGGAGGGAATGGGAAAAAAGAACACATTTTTGGTGGTGGTGGTGGTGGTCCTAGGGATTGAATCCAGGGTCTCCACATTGAACTACGTCCCCAGCCCTTTTCTTATATTTTGAGACAGGGTCTCACTATGTTGCTAAGATTGGATTTGAACTCATGGACCTCCTGCTTCAGCCTCCCAGAGTGCTGGAAATACAGGTATGTGACACCTTTTAAAATGCCATCTTCAAGTATCCCATTTAGACTATTAGGGGCATTCATAAACCAAAAATAAAATATTTAACAAAGGTGAGAACCCACACAAACACATATACAGTCAGAAAAACAACAAAGATTTGTCAAAAAGAGTGGTATCCTCTTCCTTCCTCCGGCCAGGTTTGGAGCATTCATTAGTTACTATTATGCAGTCACTGTTAGCTCTCTCAGTGGCCTGCTCTCACTCTACGGTGTGTACTTCTTTTCCTACATTTAATACCTTTAATAAATATAAAACCTCACTACCTTTTGCATTTGTCTTGACCAATTCTTTGTTCAGGGCACCAGGAACCTGGAAACCATCCCTGGGAAGAGCACAACACTCTACGCTGGATAACAGTTCTGGAGAGCCAGACAGGAGGCCCCATGATGCGCCATGGGAAATAGTCTGGAGATCCCTTCGACTTCACCATGAGGCCACATCCTTCAGTTTGAACCTAAAGGAGTCATGGCCCCATGCAATACTGTATGGGTCCAGTATGAACTAGGAAATTTTGAAAACTAGGTACAAAACAGCAGTCTAAATTGATACTGTTCTTTGGTTAGATCTGTTTTGAAAAAGGATAAAGCCAGCTGCACTTGAACTATCCGAGGAAAAGGACCACCCCCTAAAAAAGAAAGCTACTCCTGTGAACCTCTAGAAAACCCGAGGCTCCTATTCAAAAAGCAAGACTCCAGGACTACTCCAAATGCAGGTTTTTCTCAGCCCATCCTTGAGCTGCAACATCCTAAGGTAGTTGGAGACCACGTAATCCCCAGGTAGGGCCTACAGCCCCTTTCAGCCAGAAGTAGCTATATGAAGACAAACAACCACACCCTCACCAACCTATAATGAATTATGGGTTGGGGGGGGGCAGGGATTTAGCTCAATGGTGCCGCCATCTGCCTTGGAAGTGCAAGGTCCCGAGTTTGATCCCCAGTACCAAAAAAAAAAAAATAGTAGCTTCCACCTACCTGTAATCCCAGTACTCTGGGAAGGCGAGACAGGGGGATCACAAGTTCCTGCTCAGCCTGGGCAACTTTGTGACTTCTCCAGATCTTATTTCAAAATAAAGTATTTTTTTTAAAAAAGAGAATTATGGGGATTTATGTCTCTTGGGGAAATGAGGAAGCTTAGGCATGGCTAGATGGCGGGGCAAGTGGGTGTGATCTGTCAGAGAGATCTAGAACACATGTGCCTAAGCCCTGCACCTGAGAATGATTTCAATTCTCCTGGCATGAAATTAAGCAGGCTTTTGATAGGATAGCCTAGAC